TCATCGAGATTGCTGTTGGGACGTAATATATTAATCCCGAAATGAATGGAAAAAGATTAATAAACTGCAGTGTCAGTGATAAAATATATGGAAAATGGGGAGAGTACTAATATCAGTGAAAGAAAAACACAAATAATTAAAAAATGAAGACTAATAACTTAACAAGCATAAGGAGGGTACACCCCCCCCCCCCCAATTTTTTTACTCTCCTGAATTAACCATTCGCTTTACGAATGTTAGACAGATTGATGTAAGAATTATAATTAACTAATCGGCGTCTCAATTTCTACTAAAGAAAGAAAATCGTGAGTATTGATAAGTGTGTAGGGACTTTCCAAATGGCTTTCTCAGCATTTTAGGATCAAACTTTTTCTTACATGACTACGACAAGCGGAAAGCGTTTGTCAGGTAATGTTAAAAAGCAAATAAAAACCCTTGCTGTTTACTGTTGACCCAATTGACTTGAGAAGATGGATAATATTTTATTATGATCCTGAGTATTAAACCCCGCGTTCTTTGTCGGATAAAATTCTTATTTTATATCGGCGAGAGCCTGTTTTGTATAGATAACAAAGTTTGTTGCTCGAAGTTTGCCGAAAGTTATTTCACCGGGAAAAGTTATTCGTAACCCAACAGGCAAAACGTCACCTGTCGCCTCGCCAGGCCTGGCTGGGTGAGAGACCCTTGCCCGAAAAGGTGGCCCACGGGTTCAAACAACTTTGGAACATAATTAACGAATGAGCCTTCGGAACGAGCGGGGATCTGGAATACGTCTAGGTTTAATAGCAAGTGAGTATGTTCATGTTCCACCATCCCTACTCCTAGCGTCCCCCACCCGGCTATACCCCGCCCGCGTGTGCGTCTCTTCTCTAACATTCTGTTGGTCTCCTATAAATCATAATCTTCAGGATATCCAATATATCCTATGGATAATAATATATGTCACATTCTCTCAAATAGCACTCTTGAGTTACCACACTCTTTAAATTGTACTTTGCCCCTTCTGGCAAAAAAAAAACCAACTACTCCAACCCATGTTGTGTTACGCTCAGTTTTGATCAGCACCCCTGTCGTTTCATTAGGACCGTGCACATCTAAAGGGCCTTCATCCACCGCCCCATCATCACTCTCGCGTCGTCTCTGGGGTGGTGTGTGTCATTCCGTCTGTGTGTGTGCGCGCTTCTTCTCTCTCCTCCCACCCCTATGGCTTCCTTGACTGTCTCCTACGCATCCGCTCACCATCCGTCATCGCTCACGTCTCCATAAATTCGCAAGGAAAGGAGTGGTTGGGGCTCGGTTCAGCCGGTTTCGAGTGTCTCGAGTGTACCACTTGCTCCCCACTGACCTCTCCATATTACTTTATGGGAGCTAGCATATTATCTCTCTTGTGCTCTATCATTCAATATATACTCTTTTTTTCGTAAAAGCTATCTCGGACGATACCTATGGGATCAACTCTGCACCCGCATCATGTGACATCAGCGACAGGTAGTCAGTCAACAACCTATTTTTATACCTTGTTTCCTGGAAAACCATCTCTGCAACTATAATATGACTCGCTAAAATTAAACTGTAGGTCCTGCATTTATATTAATTGATACGGTGCGGGTATATAGGATGTAAGTGCTGCGAAATTTATACTATTAACATGGCCATTTAATGTCAAATTGTATGTTTGGAAATCTTTATCTCCCTGGCCAGATTGGGTGCTTTCCAGCGAACCCCTTTTCCCGGCTCACCGCTGCTTACTCACCCCCGCGAAAGGCCGAGTCTTAGCTTCACTCTACCCAAGTCTAAAGGGAAACATTCTCAAAGTTTTGACTCTACCTATTCTTACGCCTTTATTATTGCCGTTCTCAGCGTCTGGTGTTCAATACCTTGTCGGTGTTACCCCTCAAAACTATTTAAAAAAAAAAACTTTACTTTCGAGATATTTCCTGTTCAGTCCGTCTATTTACGTATCATTTCGTTATTTTTGGTAATGGAAATGATTGTAAACATTTGGAAAATATGATGGCGTATGAAATATTGTCATGAGTATATTTATTTTCCAAATAACAGTCTTACCATTATTAAACATGGATTCCAGGTGATATAAGACGAGAGGAGAGAGAGATGACGAGGAGAGAAGAGAGAGAGAGAGATCGCAGAGAGATGGAGAAGCAGATGAAAGCAGAGACGAGAGGAGAGAGAGAGATTCGGAGAGAGTTGGAATAGGAGAAAGAGAGAGAAGAGAAACCATGGACGACTGTTGAGGAGGAGTAGAAAGGAACAAGGAGATTAGGGCGGCAGAACCAAAAGAGAAAAGGAGAAAATTGAGAGAGAGAGGAGAGACTGAGAGAGATCGAGAGTAGAGAGATCGAGGAGAGAGAGGAGATGAGAGATGAGAAGAGAGAAGAGGAGCAGCTGCTATAGGATAAATGCAGAGAGCCATATAGGTTAATGTACTGCTCTGGGGATGATTGGGATAAATTTCCGTCTGGACGAAATATCGATATAAATAGTTACATTAAGAATATTTAAGGAGATTTTATATAGAAAATACGACAAAATGAATTAAAAATAAAATCTATAAAGATTGTTAATGACTATTTCCGGAACTGTATACGATAACTTATTTTCTTAAGGCAGGTCCAACTTATTCATTCCAAATCAACAACAAAACAGGAATATAAAGCGAACCCTCTCTCTCTCTCTCTCTTCTCTCTTTCTCTCCTCTCCTCTCTCTCTCTCTCTCTCTCTCCCTCTCTTTCTCTTTCTCTCTCTCTCTCTCTCTCTCTCTCTCTCTCTCTCACCTCCAAGCATCTTTAACTCTCTCCTCTCTTCTCTCTCTCTCTCATATATATATATATACTTATATATACCTATATAGTTATTATATTATATATCTATATAGTATACTTACCAGCGTAGCCAGCGGGGGTGAGGTGGAGTATGATATAAATATAATATATACGACGATGTGTATGTGTTTTGCAGCTGGTGATCAGCCTTGTGTAAGGTTGCAAACTCTCTACTATCTCGAACCATATTCAAATTAACTACATTTCCTGGATAGCTTTGTATTTCCGCCTCATCTTCAGCACGTATCCTCTCGGCTGTTGAAAGCTACGGCTCTCTTATCTGAGCCATTCACTAACGTTGCCGTGCTTGGAATACTCGCAATACTTATTGACTTCGTGTGGCGTAATTTCTATATGTACTAATATTCTAGATCTCATACATACACCTGCACTATATAGTACTATATCTATTATATTATATTATATAACTATATGTATATATTATATTATATATATATATAATATACTTATATTATATCACCCTGTATAATAGTGTGACACTATCATTTA